ACTAAGTATAGTAATGTGACCAATGAATGGCTTTGATCAAATAAATTGCTTAGCAAATAACTTGATCGTTTAGCAAAATGGCTTTGATCAAATAAATAAATCGCTTAAAATATGATGATTTTATTGATTCATCTTTGTATTAGTCACGTGGGGGTGCGAATAACAATTTAATAATAATAATATTGTAATTGGTGATCATTTTCCTAATGGTAATGAATAATTTATTTATATGTAATAAAACAAATAATTAAAATAATGATCACTCGAAACCGAATCAATACTTAATCAACTTATTATTATCAACTAGAATTCAGATCAACCTAGCTGTCCCGTTCAGGCTGAACTGGACAAGTCAAACTCGGGTTGACTCGAATATTAAAAAAATAAATCTTCAGCCCTTAAAAACAATAAATAATAATTAATTCCTCAATAATCATTTATTTTATTAATATAAATGGTTTTTTATTTTTCCATCACGTATAACCACGAAACCGCGTTTGGTATTCGAATTTAAAATACAGATAAACCAACTGATGAACAACTTTTTACTTGGTACGCGAGTTTATGATTACTTGTTAGTTTTTTATATAAAATTACAAAATCATATCATATTCGAGCTAGTATTTACCTGCCTATCGAATCAAACGTTCGGTTCGTTTCGGGTTCGAGCCAAATTCTCGAACCGGTAACCCTGAGATAGAATAGGTCGAACCATAAGAGACATAGAATATTGGAACTAGTAATTTAAAGATAGAATAATTCGAAGGAAATTCCTATATACAGAAAGGTTCTTTTTATGATCTTTTTCATAAAGACCTTTTTTTAATAGTATGAGACACTGTTTTTCTGTGAACACCAAGAATTCTAGATATATTTGTAGTTTGGTACTTTGATTTTATAAAGATCGATAATTCTGCTGAAATTTTGAGCTCAAAACTTTTTGAAGAAGGATTGGTCCAAAAGTTTATGTTTATTTGCAAAAGAAATTTCAGATAAGATTATTATGTGATTGGTTTTTTGAAGCGAGAAATATTTCTTAAAGGATTTCGGTTAAAGTTTTATGTTTTAATTATTAATTCAATAAAAATGTCAGAGGAATAAATTTTGCATATTAATATAATATTGGGCGAGAGCCTAAGTTACAAGTTGATACTATTTATTGGTTTTTTTATGTGTTTTGTGCACGACCTTTTGCGTATTTGTTTCGAAACAGTGAACCGGTTCGAACCGGTTCAAATTAAATATGAACGTAAAAACACGTAAAAACAAAATCACGTCGTGTTCTGCTGGTGTCTAATATTGTATTAGATCCGAAATTGACTTTTTCTTAGCAGCTATTCCGGTTTGATCATCACTAATAGCTTTTTAGTAATAAATATCATTTAACTTCACGTTTCTTTATATGTGCATCATCATCATTACAACAAATTGTTGGTAATGTTCTATGGGAAAATACAGGATAAATTCAGACTTTTTTGCAGATTTTAATTATTATTTTTCTGTCACAAAGGTGTAAAACGTCGTACAAATATCATTCACAATATCAAATTTAATTCCTATATTCTTTTTTCTACCTTCAGATCCTTTCTTATTAATTTACCAGAATGTTCTTTAAATAGAAAAAGATGATCAAAACCGAGCATGATTTATCCATTTAATCAAAAAATAAATAATAATACACACGGTGAACTTTTTACGGCACATACTCTGGTCTGATCTAGCATTAAAGCGAGAATAATACGTCATATTGAAGAGTCGCCACCGTCTATAAATGAAATTTTAAGAATTGAATATCGCTCAAGAACACATCAATAAACAATTGATATCTAACAAGGCTAATATATATTTTTTATATATACATTATATATAAACTAAGTTTGCAATATGTCAAGGTTACAAAAATGATAAACAGCTTGCTTATTTTAAAAAATGTTATGATCATCATAAGTCCTGGGATTCTGTCTGTAACATATATCGTCAAGCAATGTCTCTGGAGCTTATGTGGCCTTATGTAAAAAATCATTCTAATCCATCAGTTGAAGGATACATAGTGTGGGCTAAAGGACAACAGGATCCAATTTATCAAATAGATATATTTGTAGTTTGGTACTTTGATTTTATAAAGATCGATAATTCTGCTGAAATTTTGAGCTCAAAACTTTTTGAAGAAGGATTGGTCCAAAAGTTTATGTTTATTTGCAAAAGAAATTTCAGATAAGATTATTATGTGATTGGTTTTTTGAAGCGAGAAATATTTCTTAAAGGATTTCGGTTAAAGTTTTATGTTTTAATTATTAATTCAATAAAAATGTCAGAGGAATAAATTTTGCATATTAATATAATATTGGGCGAGAGCCTAAGTTACAAGTTGATACTATTTATTGGTTTTTTTATGTGTTTTGTGCACGACCTTTTGCGTATTTGTTTCGAAACAGTGAACCGGTTCGAACCGGTTCAAATTAAATATGAACGTAAAAACACGTAAAAACAAAATCACGTCGTGTTCTGCTGGTGTCTAATATTGTATTAGATCCGAAATTGACTTTTTCTTAGCAGCTATTCCGGTTTGATCATCACTAATAGCTTTTTAGTAATAAATATCATTTAACTTCACGTTTCTTTATATGTGCATCATCATCATTACAACAAATTGTTGGTAATGTTCTATGGGAAAATACAGGATAAATTCAGACTTTTTTGCAGATTTTAATTATTATTTTTCTGTCACAAAGGTGTAAAACGTCGTACAAATATCATTCACAATATCAAATTTAATTCCTATATTCTTTTTTCTACCTTCAGATCCTTTCTTATTAATTTACCAGAATGTTCTTTAAATAGAAAAAGATGATCAAAACCGAGCATGATTTATCCATTTAATCAAAAAATAAATAATAATACACACGGTGAACTTTTTACGGCACATACTCTGGTCTGATCTAGCATTAAAGCGAGAATAATACGTCATATTGAAGAGTCGCCACCGTCTATAAATGAAATTTTAAGAATTGAATATCGCTCAAGAACACATCAATAAACAATTGATATCTAACAAGGCTAATATATATTTTTTATATATAATATTAATAGTAATAACAAACCAATGAGCCTAACAATTATATGATTGTATCTTTTGTGATCAATTTAAATAATACAAAATTTATTAAAAAGGAAAAAGTACACACACATATATATACACACGCCAAGGAAACCAATCTTTTTCCTTCTTCCTTTAGTTTCCATATCCTAAATATAATATGACATTTGATAACAATTTATCAATATTCTTTTTACTATTTCTTAATTGCTTACTCATGATGATGAAAAATTGTAGCACCATTATAAAGTTTGCAGATAAAATATCACCATTTTCTGCCATTTGATCAATCTCAAGCAAAGTACTTTAATCAATGAAACGATGTCTCTTTGTTTAAGTTTGGATCGAATAATCAACCAAGTTTAATTGAGCAAAGTCAAAATCTTGAGATTGGTAACAGCAGAGCTGTTTCCTTTAATATTTTCCCAAAACATCCAAAGTTTTAGATGCTATCTTCTACATGTGCACCTTCTATTTGCAGATAAGTCATCTTTACACACCCATTTCTCAACTCTCCAACAATGTTTCCAGCATTCGTGATAAATTAAAATATTTGAATAAGAGTGCTAACAACCAAGAACACACGAGCATCATACTGTTTGCGCACGTCTCTTCTTCTAGAAGCGTTGCTTAATTTCGAGTAGTAACTCTTAATATCTGAGCTTTGTAATGGCCCTAGAAAACATCATATTGTTGTTCATGATTAAGTTAATCTAACTCAAAGAAAAAGATTGCAACAATCCCATAAACATATCCTCCATAGTGAATGAGTCATATATGACAACCTTACAGAGGTATCTATAGTCACATGTGACTGTTGTAAAATGTGTAATAGATGCGCTAGCGTAAATCGAACGTTGTAAGAAGGGGAAGCAAACAGGTTGGGGAAAGTTCAAGTTTTTTCGCAGCAG